AAATAAGACGATACGGAACAGTGGGAACACCCATCACAATGTTAACACATGAAACATGATTGACGCCATTTGAATTGAACCATGGCGTGATTGTTTAAAATTAGGAATATCTATGAACGACATCCTGTGGTATGCGATGCCACCTAATTGCAACATAATAAAATAACACATTGTTGCTGTAATACGTATGGCAGAAAATGTTATGTACGTACATGATTTTTCATTCGCAAGACAGTCTAGGGTGGCTGGTTGAATTGGTTCTGGTCTCGAACTCTGTCTTAGACCGTAACCGTTACTTCTTGCTTTTAAATAAATCCAATAGATTTTAAGGTTCGAAATAACAGTGTTGCAGGGTTGGAGAGTACAGGGCGTCAAGTGACAAGTGACGCTCAAAAAATAGGAAAATAGGAATTTCAGATGTGAAAAAAGAGGAGGAAAATAGGAATTTTGGTGAGAAAATATATGTTAAATAGGAATATTTGTTGCATTAGATGGCCTCCCAACACCCCTACAGCAATCCCGATCCACCACAAATAATTTTATTAATATACATATTTGGAGTTACAATATGCGAACAATATTTTGAGGTTTTAATGAGAAATGCATGTTAAAATTGATAAGCAGTTTATACATGCATAAGCACCCATACATGTAGACAATTCCAAAATAGTATGACATACATGTATACATGGGCGGATCCGGCTTTTTGAAAAAGGTGGGGTGCAGTAAGAAATAAAGGGCACTTTTATAAAAAGATGCCGAAGGCAGCTTATGTGCTGTGTCTAAGGCACGTTGCCACTTAAGGTGGGGGGGGGGGTTAGGGGGACCTCCCCCAAGAAAAATTTTAAATATTGGTGCATTCTGAGAGCATCTGAGCAGTATTTGAAATGTCTAGGAATGCAAGATGGAATTCCAAATTTTTAAGCAGAAAATTATCTTTTTATGTTTTCCCTTTTTCGGGTAGGTAAAAAGAGGGTCCGCGCACCCCCTGGGACCCCCCTTTCTGCGATACACATACCACATCACATGGAAACAACTTATTAACTGAATAAAAGGCTGTAAATGGGAGTTCTATTAAATTTTTGAAATATTGGCCGTCAGCCTGAATAGTAAAATTCCTGTTCTGAGAAAGGATAAGTACAAGCAAGGCAGTAGATACAGGGAAGGGAGTGTGATCATAAACAGGCGAATTCGTTCATTTACTAGCCTTATATACGCTACGAATTTACTACGCGTAAACTATCACTTGAGCTCAAATCGTAACAGTACTTCGACCTCATCCGTACAGATCGTTTCCGCGTCGTCAAGACACCCGCGCTCGGAGATACAGACTAAAACTAACGACACGCATTCTCCAGATCTTTGGTCATTAATCAACCGTAGCAATCGCCTATGATTCAACAAAGGCCTAGTACACCCAACACTGTCCGGCTTAGCGCTCACGGCGAGGCCCGCCTGTGCGCTCGCAGGGTGATAGGCGAGTCACGACAATCGCGAGATAAAGCTTTCTGCCCGCGTATAAGGCTAGCAATGTATGCCTTATGCGGCCATAGCATGCTCGGCATGCCGCCTACCACGCCACGCAGCGGCAATCCGCTATCAGCAGCAGATCGGATTAAAATCTCACTGCGAGCACAGCGGCTCGCTGTGAGCGCAGACGTTGGACAGTGTGGTAGTAGCTGCCTTTTTGTTGGAATCATAGGACGATTGCTACGGTTGATTAATGGAAAGATTGAGAGAATCGTGTCGATATGGTTTTAGTCTGGTAATCTCGGATGCGGCGTGTCTCGAACGGACGATTGGTACGAATGATGATCGAATGTATCGTGTCCGATGAGCTCAAGTTTGATGAGTACGCCGATAGTAAATCGTAGGTATTATATACGGCGCTAGTAAAATGACGGACGTTTCCTATGTTTATTGGGTCACACTCCTTCCCTTTATCTCACTCCTGATATACGAAGTCTAGATTCAGCAAATAAAGCCCTCAAAATAGGAAAAAATAGAAATTTGTCCAGAAAATACGGACGAAAATAGGAATTGCCCAGAAATAGGAAAAAATTTAGCGAAAAAAATAGGAAAAAAAAATGGACTTGACGCCTGAGGAGTAAGATTTGGCTTACACGCATCCATTAGGAGTGTTCCCAACTTTATATCATTAATGGATTAATGATTAATGATTGATTAATTCTAGCCTTAACCTAGCCTTAAACCTAAATGACATTAAACCACAACTATCATCCATGACCAATATTAGTCATAATTACTATATATATGTTATTATGGCCATTAATGACATTAAAGGAAGAGTTTACTGTAGGTTCTAGGGTTATTTTCAGCTAATTTAGGTTATAATTACGCTACATAAAAAGTTTCATGGTTCAATCACCATTAGAAATATTTTTATTAAATGTTCTAAAACTAACGACTACAATTTTGATCTACAACTACGATCTGATAAGCTGCGCAAAACCACTTTCCAGCCAAGGGCTACAGACCGAGGGTGTTTCTTGTTTATTCATTTAAAAGCAAAAGGATTGTAATATCTTATAAACGACATATAGTTTCAGTTATAATATGGATAAATTTTCCCTAAAATGAATATCGTTCGGTTAAATAGCATTTAGGTATAAATATAATTGCACTTTTGTGATTAGCCCTCGGTCTGTAACGTGCAAAATAAATTGTCAAATACGCAACTTTTTTTGGGTGGCAGCACGGTCGCGGGTGTCATAGCGCCGTTCAAATTTCGCAGCGTTGATGCACGTGTAATTAATTATAACAATTAAATTAGGTATCTGGTAACAAATTCGTGTGGGTATAGACGATTTGTTATACAGTAAGTACAGTTGTATGCAGTAAAATCCTAGAGGCTACTGTCCCTTTAAAGTTGGGAAAACTCCTAATAGAGTATCACCCAAGATTTGGGACTGAAGGGTAAGATTCATCATTAAAGTGTGAGATCATTCTTTTTCATTTTTTTTTTTCATTTTTTTTTTTCAGATTACATTGACAAAGCATACAGTAAGTATATATAGAAGTAGTAGTAGTAGTAGTATAGTAGAGATGCGTTATACAGTAAAATATTGGTAGTCGTGCACAGTGTGAGAAATAATTGGACAAGTTTGCATGTCGTCTGCCCTAGATTAGGACGTACGGGATTCGGTAAGTGACGTGTGCGTAAGCTGTGCAAGGTAACGGGGAATTAGCCGCGTGGTTATAAAAAACCTAACCGTGGTGTAGGTTAGTCTTGTCATGGACCTATACACAGAGGCCGGTTAAGGCCTCAGAAACGAGTAAGAGGTAGGAGGTAGGTGGTAGTGAGACAAGGCGACTGAGACATGAGAGATGTGTGAGCCAATGCATTTAGACCGACCCGACAGTTTAGACGGTGGGGATTTCTGTGTATCTGAGGAACCTGCATGAGGATTAATCCGTGTGGCGACTAACACCACTTCTTCAACCATGCAACGGAGGATGAGTCTTCCTTGATCGTCGGCTCTGTGTCATCAGCTTCCTCCTGCTTCTTCGCAAACTGTATGAACACTTGTTCGAGCGTCGACTGACTGAGTGTGTACTCCATTATGCCTGCCTTCTGTTTGCCTGAAACACATCGCACCCACACGTTACTGCACGTTGGGGCAAGCTGTCACACAAGCACTCGCATACACGCACGTACACACACACGCGCACGCGCACGCACACACGTACGCACGCACGTAAGCACGCACATATGCATATATACACGCACGTAAGCATGCACTCACGAATGCACACACACACGCACTGCTGCACACACGCACATATCCCTGCACGTCATTACAGATGGATTTATACTAGAGCATGAAGCTCTCTATCCTAACAACCCCAATTACCACAACATTTTTCACGCACACACATTGTGTCATTAACTAACTTGCATCATAAACTAAGAACCTTTTCGGCATTACACATCCTCTGTGACTATAGTGTACTCGATGAATAAGGAGAACCTCACAAGGACCTTGTTGTAGGACCTTACAATGTCCTGCATGAGATTCGTGCGAATCACACCTTGCCACGCACGCTCCCTTCACTCCTTCATCATCTCTTCCCACGCTGCATGGTAAACTAATAACATTTTCAGCATTACACATCCTGTGACTATAGTGTACTCGGTGAATAAGGAGAACCTCACGAGGATGAACCTTGTACGGTTGTAAGACCTTAGTAGGTCCATAATATCCTGCTTGAGATATCTGCGAATCACACCTTCCCGACACGCTCGCTCCCTTCACACATTTATCATCTCTTCCCACGCCCTCTTCTTCAACACTCGCCCTCAATAACACACTGCATCATAAACTAATAACTTAATTTTCAGCACAACATACCCTCTGTGACCATAGTGTACTCGATGAATAAGGAGGACCTTACAAGGTTACTTCTTCTTCAGCACTCACCCCCCCCCCTCAAGGTGACCATAGTGTACTCGATGAATAAGGAGGACCTTACAAGGTTACTTCTTCTTCAGCACTCACCCTCCTCCAGGTGACTATGGCGTACTTGATGAATAAGGAAGACCTTACAAGGTTACTTCTTCTTCAGCACTCACCCTCCTCCAGGTGACTATGGCGTACTTGATGAATAAGGAAGACCTTACAAGGTTACTTCTTCTTCAGCACTCACCCTCCTCCAGGTGACTATGGCGTACTTGATGAATAAGGAAGACCTTACAAGGTTACTTCTTCTTCAGCACGTACGGCGGGGCGTTTGAAGACCCCCCCCGGGCCGACCGCGCCCGTCAACGTGACCCATAGTGTACTCGATGAAGTAAGGAGGACCTTACAAGGTTACTTTTTTTCAGCCTTCACCTCCTCCAGGTGACCATAGTGGTACTCGATGAATAAGGAGAGCACCTTACAAGGTTACTTCTTCTTCAACACTCACCTGCTCCTCCAGGTGACTATGGCGTACTTGATGAATAAGGAGACCTTACAAGGTTACTTCTTCTCAACAGCTCACGCCTCGTCCAGGTTGCGGAAGACAGTCGGAGGAGCCGGTCTGACTGTGGGATGTGGTAGGTAGACCGCTATCCGAAGCACTCTGTACGATCGCCAGCTCTGAAAGCCGAACATCACTAGGCGATTCAGAAGTGCTCCATCCTTGTGGCAAAACATGAACTATAGCGCGTACCAAGGAGCACACTTGTATGATAGAGAAGACGCTATATGTCATGCACGCACCGATACCATGCCCGTCCAGCAGCTCCTGCTTAAACACTGATAAACTAGCGCGGTCACCAAAAGAACACACTTGTATGATAGAGAAGACCTATATGTTCACGCACGCACCGATACCATGCCGTCAGCACTCTGCTAAACACTGATCTATAGCGCGTACCAAGAACACACTTATATAATAGAGAAGACCTATATGTTCACGCACGCACCGATACCATACCGTCAGCACCCTGCTATGATATTATCGAGAAATTTGATGTTTTCATAACAAAATGCACCATAAATTTTCTATGCCGGCAAAGTAATACTATAGTAGCTTATTATAGTGCAAAATCTGTGTTAGTGGCTCTCTACAGAACATACACGTGTCTATAAAGGACACTACAAGTTTCCTTTAAGTTGCAGTTATGCAGTGAAACTACCTCTATACAGGACAGACATTTGCTATTCTGCCCCACTAATTCTAGTAGCCTATACAGCTATCATATTTAGGCTTTGCATTAATATCCATCGTCATGCTAGTGAACAAGTAAATTAGGACTAGGATATTATTTCAAATGCTTCAACTACTAACACTGCCAAAAGCTCTGCAGTAGATTTCACCAGTATAAACTTCTTTGCAGAAGTGGAGGAAAATTAAGAGAATAGAGAGATCCAGACACTGTCACGAACCTAACGTGGTGGTCGGGATCTGCACTGGACCAAGCTGCCTTCACTTCCAAGTTATAGCCGCCTCCGTATTTATTCTTCAGGTGCTGTGTAGTTCCCAGGCACCTAAGACAGACATTACACACGAAACGGTGAAAGTGTCGGTTCTAAGAATCAACATACTACAGTGATTACGACTAAACACAGTAAATCGAGTTACTGTACACACAAAAGTGTGGCATTCCTTTCTGATCCATGACCAAATACAATAACATCTGGAAAACTTCAAGGAGGAAATTAGTCCTAAATATTATTGATTAGAATCGTGGGTACTAGGTGGGTGTGCTGTCTAGGTTGTCGTGGTTGAGCTGCTATCTAGGTTCAAATGATGTCACGGGTTAACATATAGGGTATAGGAGTGCTGACTAAGTAATATAATCGAAATATAATGACCAACAAAAACAAACACAAAAAACACAACCGAGTATATAAACAGAACAAGAGCCACAGAGCGACTGGGCTCATCTGAGGTCTGTTGCTACGGTTATAAACGTAACATTTAAGTCGTGCGTAGTGACACCTTTGTTAGGCGCAGATATGCAGATATGCAGTTGCGTACACATCATTTCAGCAACCTTCTGCATTCTGCATACCTCCCAAATCCCATTGGTTGATACAAATCGCGTGCCTGAAACTCCTGTTTTATCGTGCTTTGTGACCCTAACCCTAACCCTATTAAAAAATTAAAAAATTTAATTGTTGTAAAAATTATTTGTTGTTATTAAATTGTTGTAAACAAATCATGTAAATATTTGCGTTAATTGGAAAAAAATAGTTAAATGGATAAAGATAGAAAAATACAGAAAACAGGTAAATAATAAAAAATCTGATGGGATTCGATCCAAGGACCTTTGAGTCGTAATCCTGTGCTGTACCCCGTGGCGCATACTCCAGACATCCATCTTCTAGAATTATAGATATGCATAATATAAACACGGGCATCATGAACGCAGTAACGAAATCCATCTACACCCTCCTCTTGAGGGTCAAAAAGTTTTCAGACACTTACTCTTCGCACATCAGTGGAAAGCACATTTCATGGTCCTTTCAATAAAGTGATAAAAAATGGTAGGTCAGTCCTGAAACAAAATTTTTTTTCACTCTGTCCATTAGGCCATGTCCTCAGAAAATGTCTGATATCTGACCTTTCCCCCACTGCCCTTTGACCTGTGACCTCCAATCTCGCAGTGGTGATGGGTTTCCTGCCCATCACACTATACACCAAATATTAAGAGCATAGGTCGAGCCGTTAAGATTTGTGCCGCAATTCCGTATTTCCTCCTATACCTTAAGTTAAGGGGGAAATATTCCCCCTCCGTTTACACATCTTGACCTTTGACCCTTGACCCCCAAATTTGTCATCCCGAGTCCTTTTCACAATCCCCCCCCCCCGGACGGACGGACGAGACGCTCAAGCGATTCTACAAGCTCCATCTGACCATGTCAGTTGAGCTAAAAATACACTAAAAACAAACAACAACAAAACAACAACAAACAAATTACCACACAAACCAGCAATCAAACACAAAATGAGCAACTAAATGAATAAATATACGAATAAACGTACAAAAAAGAGACAAGAACAAACATGAATGAGCGTTTGCCAATTAAACAAACAAACAACCAGATAAACAAACTATAGCTGGTTGACTGACCTGAGCTCTCCAGCAACCATGATGCCGACGCGGCTGCACAAAGCGTCTGCTTCCTCCATCGAGTGTGTCGTCAAGATGGCGCCACGGTCGCCGGTAAAGCTAGCGCTGATCGTGTCCCACAGGAAACGCTTCGACTGCGGATCCATGCCGGTCGACGGTTCGTCTAGCAGCACGACCTGTGGTGCCCCCAACATGCTGATCGCAAAACTCAGCTGAAACAGTGAAAATCAAAATACTTACCAACCAACAGACATTTGCTGCTGCAAAGCTGCTGCATTCAGCTGCGCGATGTGCAACATTGCCCGATGGGCAGGTTGTCACCGATAAAATTTCTAAAACAAGTGAACGTAACTAGTAGTGTCAGCTGGCATTGCGTGGGACTGTCCGCTGGAATACCTTTCGTTTTGTCCCGCCCGACAGCACGTCTGATCGCTTGTTCTCGTGTTCCCTGATTTGCAAAGCATCCATTAAGCTGAAAGAGAGGGACATCGAGAATGCACGTCAAGATAATACCTCTAATAGATTCATTTGCCAATGACTACTCTCTACAGCTATGAATAACTACACTGCAAAAATACGATGCTTCTTGAGAAAGATGATGCATGTGAGGAGTACGCATACTACTGTGTAAGCGTACTAGTTAGTTGTGTGTGTAATCTGGGTTGGCTGGACTCCGCGCATCGCAGCATAGCAGATCAGGTGTTCTCTCAGGGTAATGTTAGGCCAGATCGCGTCGTGCTGGGGGCAGTAACCCATCGCCTCGTAGGCCTCAGACATACACGAGACTACGTTGTAACCACCCACGGTCACCTAGAACAGGAACGAAACACACCTGTACCAATCGTCAACTACAGTAGTAACGAAGATATTACCTGTGCCAATCACCAACTACAGAATTAACGAAGTTTACCTGTACCGATTGCCAACTACAGCAGTGATGAAGTTTACCTGTTCCACCCTAATCAGGGCTTAACTATAGTTCTGGTCATCTGTAATGAGGAACGTTACATTAGGAATGTTGCTGTAGAGAACTAGAGTACCGTATAGTCGGTAGTAGATAGATGAGCAAACCCCCAACTCACATAGAACCAGAATTTTGTAGTAGTCCTAAGACTACGCGCACACAAGCCCCACTAATTTCTATCTCCTTTGACAATTTCATTTTCACCATACACCTCCAGTTACGCTAAATCTCTCGAATAATACATGTAATAGGGGGATAAATTACAGTACCGATCACTTGCATCAGTTACCTCATTTAACTGTGCAACTAATCATCTATTCCAGTTAATTATTGACCTCACTACACCATTTTTCACCTATAGTTGTCATAGCACTTTGAGGCATACCATGGCTCACCAATGTACAAGCCACTGCCACAACGCCATTCTCTTTGCTATAACCCTCATCCATCTCATGTGCCAAAACCAGTCAAATACGAAACAAAACATGGGTTCATCTTACCATTCCTATCCAACCATCAGGATTTAACGTGGTATAAGTTTCTGGTTCCGCGATGCTATTGGTTACTCACCGTTCCAGCTGTTGGTGCCGTCTCAGAGGTTATCACACTCAGAGTGGTCGTCTTTCCTGCACCGTTTGGTCCCAGCAGTCCCAACACCTCACCCGTCTCCACAGCAAGAGAAAGGTTCCGCACCGCCACCTAGAAATAAAACACAATACCCACATATACGCATACACATACACACACACTCATACACATACACATACACATACACATACATAGACACACTCATACGCATACACACACAGACACTCATGCACATACACATACATACACATACACATACACATACTACATACACATACACATACATAGACACACACTAATACACATACATACACACACACTCATACACATACATACATACACACTCATATACATACACATACACTGAAACCATCTTGTTCACTGCAACTTGTGTACAGCTGCTGTTCAATGCACAGTTACTCACAGAATTGTTGTTTGCGATCGAGTTTATACTCGTTTGTTTCTAATGTAATTGTTGTTGATCGTTTATGAATGCTGAATTGTTCCTCGTTGATTCGTACTCTGTGTTAGTGAGATGGTTTATTGCTAATGTAGCAATTGTGTGAAAACATAATCATTTAAGCAACAAGTTCAGTAGCAGCATTGTTCTTGACCATTTATGTATTTATGTAAACAATATTACATTGAAGTTGCCTTCATTATCACTGCTCACAGTTTTTGCATGTGTGGTAGTCTGTTCATTACAAATAATAATCGATGAATTATAAATATTCTATTCAACTATTATAATTACCTATAATAGCATCTATCAAAATAAGTTGAAAAACCTAAAAAATTATCATTGCTGGAACAATACTCGACGGCCTGATATTTACGAAACTGGATTTTACTATTTTTAGTGAATACACACGCACACACAAGCGTGCACACACGCACGCACCCACACATGCACGCGTGCACACACGCACGCACACACAATCATGTACCTTGATTTCATTTCCTTTCTCGAAAAGCCCTCCAGTGGAAAACGCCTTCTGCATATTCTTGACCATGACAACAGGCTGCAAAGACAAGTGGAATTATGACAAATAGCCATATACATATGACAGTTAACGCAAGCACGCATGCATGCACGCACGCACATATTTACTTATTTATTTATTTATATACATATAGGTAGTTAGTAAAAGGCTAGATATGGTGATATGGTACTGTTGCTGTATCTAAACTTAGTTATTCAAAGAAATGTTTAATGCGATTTTATTTCTAAAGTATCTAGACGAATAACATCGGCAAAAAAACCTGTGCACAGAATAAGGTTTAGAAAAAAAGGAATGCATATTTGGTACACAACAGAAGCTTTTTAACATAACTAAAGGTTAAAGGCTACATAAAACACGAACGATGAATGCTTTACAGGGACAGACATTTGACTATGATTTCTAGGTATTTGTAATGCAGAAATGTGGTACCGTGGAAACGGTGGCACATACGACCGTTTAGGGACGAACGGCGGATGGCGTACGACATATTTAGAAGGTGCATATCAATTAACGTCACGGACGGCATAGCTGATAGAATCATTAATAGAGGTACGGCCGGTTCTCACGGCCGGACGACGGGTGTAACTGCCTCGGCCCGACCCTAGAACAGAGCGAAAGTTGTCAACCAGGCACTCAGTAAGCGACACTTTATGACAGTCCGACAACTGGTCAAAGAGAGCATTGAACCCCAACAATGGAACGTTCGTCGCGACCGGTCCTTGTGATCACTAGCCGGTGCCACAAATCAGGAAATCTGTAGGGCACGACGAACGCGCGCACGGTTTAAAAGAGAGTGATTTTTGGAGAAATGGGAGAGTCCCGGACCATCACTGGGTATGTGTATACGCTGTTGCTATTCGTGTTCTAGAATAAACCTATAGTTGTTTACCGTTTATACAACTCTTACGTCTACTGTCTACGAGCGTACATTCAACGCTACAATTTGGCGCCGTTTGACCAAAAGAATCTTCGTCTCCCTTTGCAACACAACGCAAAGTGCTACCACTGCGATCGACGTGGCCGGAAGAACTTCACTGTCAGCACTCACTTGTCGGGTAAGTGGAACGTTATTTGTCGGTTTTACATTGTATCACATGTTGTGCGGTGGTTACATCGTCTCTCACACCCTAGTCAACATTTACCATTTACCATTTAACATTTACCTTTGATCCGTTTTTCCCCGACCACAATGACGGAAGCTACGATTGAATCTCTAACTCGAGTGTTTACGGAGGGCCTTAAACCTTCAATGGAAAGTGTAGCGGAACGATTTACGAGGGGTTTAAGGGTCGCGGAAGTTCGGCAGAGTATTACTAAGTTTATGGGGAATGAGCTTTTGTTGGGGCCCAAGTTCCAAGAGTGGATTAATCAATTAACGTGGGCACATTTAGAGCTAAATCTGACGAAAACAGAATTCAGAAATTTAGAAATCAGCACCTTGGGGGGAGCAGCGTCGGAGTGCACCCGCCGTTTATTAATAGACACGCCAGACATTACGTGGGACCGTCTGTACGAAGCCTTACAAACACGCTATAAGGATTGCGTACTATAGGGATCCGGCCTGCGTAGCACGCGCGGCACACACGTACGGCGTACGTCTGACAATCTCAAACAGTGAACTAAAACGCCGTGTCTATATTGTAAAGCGAACTATATTACATAGGAAAGCCGTGTCCGCCGAGTGTTGCGATAAATCGAACTCTGAGCACTTGTTTTGCGCTGTGTTAACGCCGAACAGAAATTGTACTCGCCCAAAGATTTTATTTTGGGCCTGTAATATTTTGTTTTTGGTATTTTTTAGTCGCCCAGCAGAGGTTTTGGTCGCCATTGGCGACCGGGCGACCGGCTGTGTCGAGCACTGCATTGGGCCGCGGTATGCGGCGGCTTTGATCGCGGCGCTTTTGACGCGGCGGCGGTTTTCGATCGATATACGAGCCATATGGTTTAAATACAAGAGAGGCGTCAGTTTGGTTCCTATTTACGGTGGCGCAGAAGGCTCACCACAAA